TTCACTGCATTGATCTCCTTTTTTGATTTATTATGCCTGCAATCTCGAGCATAATGTCCAGGTTTTCCACATACAAAGCATCCATTTTTCGGACCCTTCGGACCACCGAAATTCTTGAACTTGGTATGTTCCTTTTTTTTGGTGCGATGTGACTTTTCTTGACATCATGTTTTTTCTTTTCCTTTCTGGTCACAGCATTGGCTTTGGAAAGACCCGCAGATTCTGATTTTTCCCTCTCCTTCGATTCCTCCTCGATTCGAAGATGCTTCTGGATTTTCTCCAAGGAAAAGTCATCAGAACTGTGCAACAGTTTCTTTTTATAGCCTTTCCACGAACTTGGTAACTTCGCAATGATTGCACCAACTTGAAAGGTTTCAGCAATGTCTATTTTCACCGCTTTGATTTTGTTCACCAGGACTTGCAATTCATGCACTTGAGGAAGTATGGGCTTGGAATCTATAAATTTAAAATCAAAGTATTTAGAAATTAAGAACTTTTTCGTACCTTCTTCTTCGGCTTTGAATTTAAACTCCAGGGAATTCCATATGTCTCTAGCGGACGGATTGTCTGTGTATAAGTCGTATAGGCGGTCAGATAGCGTATTCAGAATATGGCCACGGCATAGTAATTCGTCCTCCCTTCGCAGCATGCGCTTCTTCTTGAGTTCGTCGGAATCATCTGCAGTTGGTTCTGGAATTGGTGTCAGATTGGGATCCAAGACGTAGTGAACCTTGAGCGCAGTAAGCAGGAACGTCATCTTGTCTTGCCATCTGGTAAAGTTGTTTCCATCGAAACGATCCAATTTGACAAGGTCCTGATTCATAACTTTGATACTTGAAACAGCAGCGTCGGAATCCATGATACAAATACTTTTAAGATTGTTAGATAATTCTTCTATGTCGAATGGATCCAGACTGAATCGTGAACGAAATCACTTTCCTTAAAAGTATTTCAAGCACACTCTCAGATTGTCTTAGAGTTGGAACGGCCTGAATACCCAGGATAAGTCAGCCTTTTTCTCGAAACTGCACAAGACTGATGAAGTTTCGAATGCAAGGAAAATGTTGGAATTATATGGAAGAGGATTTCAGAATTTGGAGTGAATGATTTCGAATTATGAAGCATATATTTATAGCCATGCTTGTGTCTTTTCAGGAGGTTGCAATTCTTCATAAACACACTCTCTAATGAGCATTTGCAATGGTTCACATAAAATATCATGCACCACTTCGTCAAGTGTCATGTATTTCAAATTCAAATTCAAAATCAAACTCTAGGCAGCGAATAAGAAGTGCCGTCTACAAGCCGCCACTAGCGCCTCTACGCCCACGCCCCCGGTTCCGGAGCCGGAGCCGGAGCCGGTGTCGCCGGTGGCGACACCGGCGAGGGGTGTTTTGTATGAGACAAGTGACATAAGTTTTGGCACCACCACATGTGACTATGTGGCACTTTATCCTTTTTGGCTCTTTTGGAAATTACATTGTTCCAAGTGCCTTATAAATGCTATTTAATTTTACTCCTCTTCCAATGTGGGACTAAGCATTTATTATAACACCCACTTTGTCATTTTGGAACAACTTTAATGGAAATAAATTATTATTTCCAACAATAACTTCAAATGTAGTTTATAGATAAGTATCTAAAAATTTAAGATAAATAATGTAGACAATAGATTTACATAAATTTATTTGTTTTTATGAAGAAAAAAAAATTACTTTAACAATTTTAGTTTTACTCAATTAATAAACAACACTCGTACATAGAGAGTAAGTCGCCCTCATAACCTTTCCTACATTGTATTATCATTACATTCAATAAAATGACAAATTTCATAGCTGATAGAATGATGACCATACATTCAATTAAATCTATTAATATATTTTTTTCCTATTTTTTTGTTGGTTGAATATAAAAAAATTAAAACAATATTTTTTATTAAATTATTTTTTATTTTACATGTATACGTTCAATTCATTTATTTAAATAAATAAATATTTTTATAGCACATAAAATATGTAAATTAAATTGTAAAAAAACAAGTAAATATTTTAAATCAATTTTAAAAAAAAGACACATCAACCCAAAAATATTTAATAAAATGACGTCTAATTTAATTAGATATTTTAAATTTATACTAATTAAATTAAATTCGTAATTTTTTAAATTATATATTAATTGTTGTGAATAGGATGTCTTGAAACAAAATATAAACGGTTTCTTTATGATTAAGAAACATACAAGAGTTAAGGTTAACAAAGAAAAGAGGTAAAACAATAAGGATTGGTTATGAACTGTCATTCTTTCTTTTTTCTTAGAACAAGATTACAAATATACAAGAATAACAAAATAACTTCTCTCACTTGAATTAGGATTTTATCTTCCTATGTTTCCTTATACAGGATGTGTGTCTAGTATGCTATTTATAAGAAAAATAGTACACTAACCTAATGAGTTTTTTAACAATTACCCATTACAAGTTAACGAAGATTTTACCCCATACCCCTACCCTTATACCCACACCCCTACACTCAAAAATATTGGACCAAAATACCCTTGTTTAAATATCTATAATTTTAAAAAAAATTCACTTTCACTTCATTTCCACTTATTTCCATTTCAAGTCTTCCGGAGAGCTCTTCATCCATTTACAAACCGGAACTCTTCCACCAAGTCTTCCGGAGAGCTCTTCATCCATTTACAAACCGGAACTCTTCCACCAAGTCTTCCGGAACGCATTTGTTTTTCAATACATACCGGAACTCTAAGAGTAAGTCTTCTCGGTTTGTATTTTGTTTTTGTTTCTTCACCGGAAGACTTAATGCATGTCTTCCGGTTCACAAAATTTTGAGTTTATTCACCGGATGTCTTGTAGTAAGTCTTCCGGTACACGCAATTTGTGTTTCTTCTCCGGAACTCTTTTCTGAAGACTTCCGGTTCATTGTTTTTTTTAATTTTTAATTTCTAATTATATTTATTTATTTAATTTTTAATTTTTAATTAGATTGATTTTTTCAGTGGTGCGCACACGAGGCAGAGATGGTAGGATCCCTCGTGGACTAGGACGGGGCGAGTCATCGAGAATGGCTGAAGAAGAGCATTTTGATGCATCTGCATCAGCATCCGAGCCGGCTGGATATCCAGGAGGACCGTATGATACATCTCTGTTAGTTAAGTACGAACAACATGTTGCATACCGTATATGGTTCGGTGAGGTAAGTAAACGAAAATTATTTAATATTGAATAGAACTCGAATTTTTAATATTGAATTTTATAATATATTTACTTTTAATTTTTTTCAGGAGAGAGGGTCGAAGAAAGAGTTAAAGGTGGCGGGACATGGGTTGAAGTTAACTCAGAGGGTTTCGTTACAGTAACCCAGAGAGATGGAGAGCTGGATATCTAGGTCTGGTCTAGCTTCACTCTAGAGAACCAGTTTAACAAAGATAGACACAAACCTAGTTTCCGCTTTTGCAGAGAGGTGACATCTAGAGACATCTTCATTTCACATGTCGTTTGGTGAGATGACGATTACTCTAGATGACGTATCTTGCCTGCTTCACTTGCCCATCATGGGAGTCTTCTGGAGCCCTAAAGATACCAGTGAAGTGCTTGCTGTTGAGTGGGTTGTTGATTATTTAAGAGTGTTACAAAGAATAGCACAACAACAAGTCTGTGAATGCAGGGGTTCCTACTATAAGTTGGAGTGGTTATATGATCTGTTCGTAGAGCATAGAGCTGCATCTATATGGCATTATGCCACTAGAGCTTATTTGCTGATGTTAGTGGGCTCTACTATTTTCGCGGACAAGACGTTTACGCTTGTCGAGGCACGATACCTCTCAATGTTTATAGACTTGGATGGCTTATCAGGATACAATTGGGGAGCAGCTGTGTTGGTTACTCTTTACAGATATCTCGGAGATGCTTCCATGTTCAGCTGTAAGCAGCTTGGTGGTTATCTGACTCTCCTACAGGTATTTATTTTAATTTAGTATATTTTGTTTTAATAAATTTTATCTAGTGTATTAATTTTATTTATCTAGTTTATTATGTTATAATTAATTATTTTAAATTTAATAACCATATTAATTTGTAACAATGCTGGATTCATGAGTATTTTTCAACACTTGGAAAAAAAAGGAGAGAACTGAATACCAGTTAATAATGTGGGTCTCCCTCGAGCGATGAGATGGTCATATAGGCAAGGTGCCTTGAAGGTGGATGAGTTGCGACCTATTCTGGACGAGCTGACACTTGCTGATGTCATATGGCGCCCATTCGAGAATCATAGATTGTGGCGTCAGTTCGATGAGCTATGCCTATATAGGGGGTGTCTGAATTGGGGTGACACTATTGTTCCATACTTGCCTGACAGATGTATGCGTCAGTTTGGATATATGCAGTATGTTTCACATCCACCTCTTGATCATACGGTGGCTGGTGATATTGACGTTGACTGGATTAGTTACCATCAGAGCGTTTAGAATGTGATTCGTCCGACAGCACCGACCACCACCCCATATGAGACAGATGATGGATATCTTGAGTGGTATTATCGTGTCTCTCATCCTTGTCTGGTACCGCCACCCTATCATGATGCTCCAGCAGAGATGTTAGTTCCTGTATATGAAGCAGGACCATCTGATCCTAGCTGGGCTCGTGTGTCTTTGTTGATTCATCGTTATCTTCAGCAGGCTGCTGTTGAAGATAATGACGCACAGTTTGCGGATTTGTTCGAAGCTTTACATATTGCTCGATCACAGTGACTTATATTTATATTTATGATTATATGTTAACTTTTAGACTCATTTGACCTAATTGTTTTATGTTTATGTGTTAACTTTTAGACTCATTTGATCTAGTTGGTTTATGTTTAAGTGTTAACTTGTAGCTTGAAATAAAAAAATGAATAACTTAATTCACGATTCATGTTTTGAAATTAAAAACGAGTAACATAATTCATTATTCATGTTTCGAAATTAAAAATGAGTAACATGATTTATAATGTATAATGCGTTGGTAATATAGGCGTAAGTTGTTGCCAATGTTGTAGACGTCGTGCAAATTCTAGCATCCAAGATGTTGCTGTTGGAGAACGAAAATTCTTCCAATCTACTGTCACCGGTGGCAATGGAAACCCTTCTTTCATGTTTACCTAAATAAAAAAAATAATCAAAATAGTAAGTAAAAATAACGAAAAAGACTTAGGGTTAATCGCATTATCTAAAAACAACTAAGTACCTGAACCCAATGATTTCTGTTTACAAAACCAATGCAGTAAATTGCTACATTTGGTAAAAATGAAGTTGTCATAGGGAAGAAAGTCCAACATTCAATTCCTAAACAGACAAGTACAACATTATAACAATTCGTTATCACGTAACCCGTATCTGGTAGAGTTAACCATTTATGTGGTGGTTGAGGACCGACTTCTTCTATCATCAAAGATTCTTTCACCACTGCTAACTGATCAGTAAATAAATTGGCATACAAACTTGATCTTTCATTATGTATTATTTCCAACCCCAAGTCTCGACGAACCATTGACCAACCATCTTCACCAAATCCATGCAATGAAGCAATGACTCTAAATCCATAATTACCATCTGATACAACATTAACTATATCATCAATATATGACCGAATGTGATTAGGAAACTGAAGGATGAACTGCTTAGATGACTATGAAGATTGTGATAATTTTAACTTCTTCGAAGCTTGTGATGGTTGAGATTTCTTTTGTGAAGACTGTGATAATTTCAACTTCTTTGAAGTTTGTGATGGTTGAGATTGCATCTGTGAAGATTGAGATGCTTGATCAATATACTCGTGATACGAAGGGTCTCTATAAACATCATATCCTACTGATTTTTTGTCTTTCTTCTTGACTCCCCCTTTAGTTTTTATTTTCTCAGGTGGTGGACACATAGAAGTCATTGTAGGGAAGACAAGTTCAAAAACCCTACTTTTTAATGCCCTTTTCCCAACAACATCCATTGACTTAAACCTTTTCCATAACTCATCTATTACACTACTCATATCCACCTCTGATCCATCATCTACGTCTTCATCCAACTTAACTTCCATACTTAGTTTTCTCCAATGAACATGTACATCATCTATTGGTATCGGTATACCATCAATTTTATATCCTATCAACTCACAAGCACAAGGTAGTCTGTAGGTTGTTCTAAGAGTACAACAGTATATTTCCTTGTTAGTTCCAACATAATTAACTCGTTTTAACTCTTCAGCAATGCGTCTCAATGCATCTCGAGACACTGAACCACGTAAATTATTGTAAAATGGACTTACGTGGGCGCGCTCAACTTCATAAAAACTCTTTCGAAAAGAAGCTCTAATATTACCCAATTGTAACTTTAAGTTGTCATTCATAGTCTTCCAACATTTGACCATGTCACCAATACTGTTCCCCAACATTTGCTTTAACTTCCAATGAGCAGACTCAACCCTATTAGTCATGGTGTTACCCAAATGTAGCACTCGATTAATCCATGCTCCAACAAATCTTTGTCTATGTGGTGTCAACCATGTGCCCTTCTGTTGCACCCCAAAATTTGCCCTCACAATACAAGACTTTGTGTTCCAAGAAGGTTCACAAGGTTCACAAAATTCACAATTGGTCAGAAGAGTTGACAATTCCCTCAGACAATGCACCTCCTAAGCAGTGCATCCAAAACTAGGGTTTTGACTTTAATCAGGCTAAATGGACTTCCAAGACTTCAAGTGAGCTTCATAACATCTTATATGTGTATAAGAACCCCCATGTCAAGTTTCAAGACTTTTCTCAAAAGTTTGCTCAGTCAGATGATCAGATAAGTCAAAAGCAGTCAATGCAGTTAAAAGGTCAAACTGAGGTCAACTGTGGTCAAACCAAAGTCAAACTTCATGATTTTTTTTTTTTGCCAACATCAAAGAGAGGTTGGGTGAGAAATATTATCATAATAACTGTAATACCCCAAATTTTGCCCTAAGATTTGTCGTCGCATTTCATTGCATTTAATCAATTACTAACAAATTTGTGTAGTCGTTTGACTTTTTGCAGGTAAATATCATATGGCATGCATTTTTTTTCTAAAAAGTAAAAATGGCACAATTGGCAGGAGGACATGTGTAAGGAGTTATGAGTGTGAGAGGTTGAGAGTTCGAATCTCACCTTTGTCATTTTTTTTGTTTTTTATTATTTTTACTCTAAATTTTTCTATCTTTCATTAAAAAAATAACAAAAATAGTTTTTTATTATTATTTAATTATTATTTTCGTATTTTAATTAAATCATTTTTTAAAATATTATTTTTTTCACTTTTTTCTAAATTATTCATAAAAATATCCAAAAAATCATAAAATAAAAAATATTGAAAAACATTTTGTTCTTTTTATAATATTTTTTATTTTAGGAATCAATAGGATTATTAGTTTTTATTTTAAGTTTATTTTAATTATTTTAAATTATTTAAATTTTATTTTTTCTTAACTAATTATTTAGTTTGGGCTTTAAAATGGGCTTTAGGGACATTATTGACAATTTGGTGTTAACCCTAATTTGTTCCCTATATATACATGTGTTGCCTTGTTGGAAAAAAGGGGAGAAGGAAAAAAACCTAAGAGGAGTGAGTGCCGTTTGCCGTTATTTAGTTTTCTTCTTCATCCATTACTATTGTTTCTTTTTCTTCATCGTTTACCGTTATTTCTTTTCCTTCATCTATTACTGTTGTTTCTTTTTCTTCATCTTTTACCGTTATTTCTTTTCCTTCATCTATTACTGTTGTTTCTTTTTCTTCATCTTTTACCGTTATTTCTTTTTCTTCATCTATTACCGTTATTTCTTTTTCTTTATCTATTACTGTTACGTTTATATATATATAATTTTTAAATTGTTAGAGTTTATATATATAAGATTTTTGATCGAATTATGTCGATACGATGTTTGCACATTTGTGTGCATGACGCGTGACATTTGTGTTAGTTCGATCTGGTTGCGATGATCGCATTTTTGTGTGAGCAATAATACTATTTTTTGCTTAATTTCTTTTCCTTTGCGATAAATTTTGTTTCGTCCGATTTAGATCTGGTTGCGATGAGCGCATTTCTGCGTTAGCAACATTGTTGGGTTATTTGGCACATTTAAAATTCATTATTGCTTTATTATTATTATTATTATTATTATTATTATTATTATTATTATTATTATTATTATTATTATTATTATTATTATTATTATCATTATTTATTATTATTATCATTATTATCATTATTATTACCATTATTATTATTATTGTTATCATTAATTTATTAAAATTTGTTATAATATAAAAATCTGTTTTTTAAAATAAATAACATTAACATCTTTTCCAAATTAATATGAAAACCTATTATTTTTAAGAAAAACTTTTTTTAGATAAATTTAAAATAATAACTAAAATCTTTTTTTTAAAATAATAACTAGAACCGTTATTTATTTTATTTTATTATTGTTCAATTCAAATTTCATTATCATATTGTATCTGCTCCTCTCATGTAACCTCGCGAACTTAACAATCGCTCTTTAAATTCTGCCTTTAAATTTCTGCTTGCATGGTTTAAATTATGACATTATCTCTCTGTTTGCATGATTCAATTATCTCACGCGTTTACTATTATTTCTGTCACATTGCACACATCCGAAGGTTAGGTCTAACTGTTTGGCCGCCGCGCCAATAGTCCGTAAAACTTCACACATTCAATTTCAAATCTTCAAAACTACAAACTACAAACCCTAATTTTCACAAATGCCTCGCCGCAGGCAAAATTACAATTTTACCCTTAGCATTAGGTCAAAGAGCCGCCGCGCTCATTTTAGGGTTTCCCGCCGTGGAATCCCTAATTTAACCCTAATTACAACTTAACATTTCAACGTAGAGATTTGGAGTTTCTACACTCCACGTAAGCGTGTCCTTAAGATGCGTTTATTCCCCTTGAGACCTTGACCACAGTCAAGAAGTTTCTAACCTCCCTATTGAGGGGAACTACGATTACTCTGATTCCACTCCCGTAAGGATACGTAGGCACAAGATGCGATGTCTTGCCGAGTAAACTTAGAATTAACCCCCTTTATTATTTATTATTGCTTATTTATATTTTATTTATCTTTGCTATTTAATTATTTTGCTTATTATTTTGTAATTGTTTCTTGGATGTAAAGTTGTTTAATTATTTAATTATTATTATGGTTAGTAATTAGGGAGTGTAATAACATGTATGTAATATTAAAATAAATTTAGATCACTTTTAAATAAAGATAATTAAAATAAACACGTCACACACGTAAGTCGATTTTAATCGCCGTCTCACTTCCTAAGGATATCCCTCAAGTTGCCTACGAATAATGGTTAAGTGGGGTGTATAAAGCAGGTCCCTCAAATAAAAAAATCATCAAAGTCCCTTATGGTTGCCTTTACGAATCAAGTCCCTTTCGAAAAATGATGATGGTCCCTTATATGTGCTTATTACATCCCACAATGGCCTTCAAAGTCAAATTGTCCCTCACATATCCCTTAACATCCAAAGTAAGGACTACCTACTCCATTATAGTAGGGATAGTCTTACTAAAGGAAAGAATGAAGAATAAGAAAGACCTTTAAACATTAGGGTAGGTTACTCCTAGGTGCTTGCTCACTTCAAAACTGTTTCACACTTAAACAAATTTTCAACAAGTTTTCAAACAAGTTCTTAACATATCCTTACATGGATTATTTATTAACTATTCTGAAAATTTTCTATTCACACACTACAATTTCAAAACAATTCAAAAGTGAGCTTAAGTACCTAAGAGCCCATGGATAACCATGGATGAAAAGGATGCTAATACCTTCCCTTTTCATAACCTACCCCCCGGACCCAAAATATTCTCTAAGGTCTTTCCTGTTCTTTTATAACCTTTCCTTATGGATAAAATAAAAGTCGGTGGCGACTCTTGCTATCCGCAACATTGTTTAAAGTCAGTTCACCGGGTTACAGAACTGGCGACTCTGCTGGGGATTTATTTAAGAGGGGTACCCTTAGGAATTAAGATCACTTTAAATTGTTTGCCTTGTTTGCTTTATTATTATATTGTTGGGGTGCTCTTATGTGTGAAAGGTCCTAACCCGGATCTAGTGTACCTTAGGTAAATGGCAATAGACCAAGGAAACTGTACGACGTATATCGATACGGTTGATCTGGTGGCCATAGTTAGTGCGACTTCTTGGTTGGTGCTTATATTCCTTAAGTCAAGTTGAGGATAATATTGAGGCTGCCATATGTTGTCAATGCACTAACTGACTTTTAGAACCCTAGTTAACTCATCTTGGCCTTTAGAAAGTAGTGAGGTAACCGGCTTTGGTGCAGACTGAAGTTGGTTGACACTCGATACTACGCTCATTGAGATCTTAAACTTGGAGGGTTTTGGTTGGCAAGTAAGTTGCCTTCTGAACAACCACCCTTGTGAAGGATCAATGATATTGAGATCCCTTAGAACCTGGTTACTTTTGTAGGACAGGATGAACCATCTAACTTCAGGGGAGGGTACTTGCCTTTGAACCTCATGCAAGCCTTTAAACCTAGGGCTATGGTGTGACTTGTTTGTGTGTGCCACATGTTTGTGATTGAGCATGACATCATGACATCATCATGCATCATAAGCATATCATTTTCCCTAACCATTTCAAGGACCAAAGGATTTATCTTTGTTCTTTGTTGCAGGTCATGGCTTCTGCTCGTAGAAACACCATCAGGATCAACTTTGTAGGGATACCTGCTAAGCTCAAGGAGTTGGTTTCCCTAGTGCCTGATCATTCGCAGTTCAACAAGAGACATGGTCACTTATTGGATCTAGTTACTTCAGGGTTCAGTGAAGACATGATGAGTGTGCTGTTTCAGTTCTTTGACCCTAAGCACCATTGCTTTACATTTCCTGATTATCAGCTGGTTCCAACCATGGAGGAGTTCTCTAAACTTCTGGGTATACCTGTTCTTGATCAGAAGCCATTCACAGGCTTAGAGAAGGAGCTTAAACCATAAGTTATTGCTGCAGCTCTACATCTGAAGAAGTCTGACATTGTTCTAGAGACGAGAAGTGGAGTTAAAGGTATTCTTGCCAAGGTATTAGTGGATAAAGCTCAAATGTTCTTGAAGGCTATGAGCTACGATGTTGTTGAGGAGATCTTAGCCTTATTGATTTATGGCTTAGTGTTGTTCCCCAATCCTGATCAGTTCATAGACGTTCATGCCATCAACATATTCCTGAGTCACAATCCAGTGCCTACCTTACTTGGAGACATCCTACATTCTCTTCACACCCGTACTACAAGGGCAAGAGGAACTTTGATGTGCTGCATACCTTTACTTTCTAGGTGGTTTATTTCTCACCTTCCTCGCTCAGTAATGAAGAATGAGCAAGGGTT